AATTTTGACTTTTGTAGCTGAGAATCCACATTTTCTTTTCAATAGAATTCTTTTCAATAGTTCAATAGAAAAAGAAGGGAAAGTTTTAGATATTGGGTGTCTTGAGATACTATAACTAATCGAAGGTATGGATCCAATCTAAAAAAGGAGGAATTTCTTTAGGCAAGGGATTACCGAAAAAAGGAATTCAACACAGAAAGTACAATAATAAAAAGGGCGGGGGGTACGTCTCATTTTGTTTGTAGTCTTTGGCGACATGGCCGAGCGGTAAGGCGGGGACTGCAAATCCCTTATTCCCCACGTTCAAATCCGGGTGTCGCCTGATCAACAAAAACCTCGAAGTCCTCTATTCTGTTTGCTGATATAACTTGACAAATTTTCTCCAGCAAAAACAAGTGTAAGAAAAGGACTCTTGATACTTTCTTGATTCTAAACTTCCGGAGGTTTTGTTTTCTAAAGTGTTGTAAATCCTTACGTCCAGGATTCAAGGAAAAACTAGAGAAGTGTAAGGGAATCAGTAAATCTTGATATGGCAGACACTCCACTACTAATGGAATGTCTACTAGCAGAGTCCTGAATTAGATTGGATAGCGGGAGTGTCTAATGACCTAATTAATGGTTGGTTGTAGAAGGGTTGGAAGATATTTTGTATACAGACTGATGAAAGTCTCTGAGTGTTCAAGCACCCAATCAATATTAGATTGGATGGATAATTGGCTTTACTTAATGAGGGACAAGAAAAGAAAGAATAAGTCTTATTATTGATACATGTTAGTAACATTCTTTTGATACTTCCAAAAGTCTTACTGCGTATTTTGCTTGTGCTTAACGGTTCTGGATTTTACTAGAAATCAATTTTACTAGAAATCATATAAGAGCTTGTTAGAAGCGGATTTCTTGGGGACGGTGGTGTGTCAGAATCCCCTTTTCTTTTTGACTCTGCGCCCGTAATTCCACTATTATTAGTGAACAATAATGGAAAAATTCCTTCATATTTGTTTCATATTCATAGAGATAGGGGACATAATACACATGGATATAGTAAGTCTTGCTTGGGCTGCTTTAATGGTAGTCTTTACATTTTCCCTTTC